TGTAAGCTTCCAGTGTTTCTTCCAGGTATCACTAGGTCTCCTCACAGGTAGCACCAAGTTCTATAGAAGAGTTTTTGTTTTGTTTTGTTTTCAGTTTCTCCCTGTTCTTGCAAATGGCTGTTAGGGTTTGGGTCTGGATGTCCCCCAAAGCCTCATTCGGTCAGAGGTGGCTGAATCTGGAGTGTGTGATGCTGGCATTAAGGTCGTGTGATCACTAAACCAGTATAGTGAGCGAGTGGTTTTTCATCGCCCTAATCCCAGTAGTCTGGATGGGATATAAGAGGCAGAAAGTCAAGGGGAAGGTCTCTTGTTGCTTTTTGTTGTCTTCTGCTGCCCCTTGTTGTCTTCTGTTCCTCTTGTTACCTTTGCAGCCTTGTGTACGCCATGTTGTTTCTCCTCTGCGATGCCCGTTTGCCATCCCTGCCTTGGAGCCAGCTGATTGTGGACTGAAACCTCTAGGAACTGTAAGCCACATAAACCCCTTCCCCTTTAAATATGGGTGTCCGGTGTTTTGTCTCAGAAAGGAGAGAAAAGTCACTCATTTCACTTACCTATAAGCTATGATCACCAAATACTTTGTTGCTCTTTTTATTTGAATAAACTTATTTATCAGATCAATGAAGAATAAGACAAATTTAAAAAAATATTTCACATTCCTTTCTTATGTTTTAAAATGTAAATCCGTACTTCTGTATAGTTTCTTTCTGAAATGACATCTTTTAACATTTCTTGGAAGGCAGGTGTAACAGGATAAATTTTTCCTCAAATTTTGTCTAAAAGTCTTTCTTCACTTTTGAAGGATACATTTGGGGGGTTCAGAATTTTAGGTATGTACTTTTTTGTTTGTTTTTCCTTTCAACACTGAGATTTCACTCTGCTCTCCTGTTGCCTGCATGCCTTTCAAAGAGAAGTCTGTTGTAGTTTTTGCCCGTGTCCCCTTAGCTAAGTTCTCTTCACACCCTTCTTCTGGCTTCTTTCCAGATCTTCTTTTCATCTTTGGTTTTCTGCAGTTTGAATATGATATAGCTATATGTAGGGTTCTTTTTGTGTGTGTGCATTTATCTTGGTTGACATTCTCTCTACTTCCCGGATCTAGTAATTTGTGTTGTCATTAATTTTGGAAATTTTCTAGGCATTATAGCATCAAATAGTTCCTGTTTCCTTTTTTCTTCTCCTTATATTCTCATTGTGTAAAACTTTCACCTTTTGGAATTGTCCCACATTTCTCTCATATTTTGTTTTTACATTTTATTTTTCTCTTTTTCCCATCAAGTTTTTTGGTACATTTTAGCTATATGGTGTGATGACATTCATCATTGGGAATTTCTTCCTTTACATAATATATCTTGGTTCTTATTTTTTCCTTTCCCCTGCCCTCTCTTCACTCCCTCTACCTATTTACAAAGACTTTGTTTCCATTTGTTTTCTATTGACGCTCAGTGATGCTTTTCTTAGCCATGACCATGGAAGACCTCCTTCATTTCTGTTAATGTTTTTTTATCTTACATTTCCTTTTGATTATTAGAATTTCCATGTTTCTGCTTATATTAACCCATCTATTGTTGTATATTGCCCCCTTTTTCCAGTAATGCTATTAGTACATTAATCATATTTGTTTTAAATTCTCAGTGTGACAATTCTAATATCTTTAGTCTGAGTCTGATTCTGATGCTTGGTTTGTCTTTTCAGACTGGAGAGTTTTGGTTAGGTTTGGTTTGGTTTTTGCTTTTTAGCCTAACTGGTAATTTTTTGCTAAAAGTTCGACATGATACATCAGGCAAATGGAAACGAGACAGGTAGATAGGTCCCTAGCGTCAGGCTTAGGGTTAGGAAGTGTTTACTGTGACTGCAGCTGGGTTGTCTGAAGCTGACGTTTCCTCTAGTGCCCCCTTTTTATATTCTCCTGTTGTCTTTGAGTTTTTCTTCTTGTGTCAAATTAGGTGTTTCTTTTCCTGTCAGGTCAGTCAGGCTCTGGTAATCTTCCTGGTGGTAATGCTTTATTAAGAAAGTATGAGGATTATTTTTATAATAATAGAAATATGAGGAGTAATACGTATATTTTTGTTTGGTTTGGTGTGTTTTTGTTTTTATTTTTTGGTACTAGGGATCGAACTCGGGACCTTGCGCTTGTGAGGCAGGGGCAGTGCCACTGAGCTAAACCCCCATCCCGAGAAGTATATTTTAAAATTGTTACTTTTCCCCTCCTCTTCCAGAAGCAGGAGAGGGTTTACTATAGGTTTCACCATGAGAATCTAGTAGGGCCCATTGAGGTAACACAAAATTTTATACCACCCATTTTTTTTTTTTTTAAGCCTGGGCACCCTCCTAGTTTTTAATGCTTAAAATAGTCCAAACTGATCCTCTAGCACTTAACCCATTCCAGTTTAAATACTTCTAGTTTAATGTAGCCTTCAACTGAGGCTTCTTCTCCTGGGCTTTCTTTTCCAGAGCTGCGAGCCTGTCTCTGCAGTTTTCAGGGAAGCAGTTGTCCTATGTCCTCAGTTCACTGATATATCTAAGAAGAGTTACTGGCTTTCAGTTTGTTCATCATTTTTCTTTTTGTGAGGCCAAGAGTAACTGCTTTGAGGCCCTTTATACATTGGATTGGAAACTAGAAGTTCTCATGTTTCTTATTAGGAGAAAGATACAATTTTAGAGCACACTTAGTCTCTGAAACCCTTAATTTTTCATCTTTGAACACAGCTTCCAGTGAATATTTGAACAAAGATGACACACTGACAGTAATACTTTTCTCATCTCCCTTTTGAAATTAAGTTTTCATTTTTTCTAAATGCAGACTGCAATCCTGTGCAATCTGGAAGGCAGTGAATGAATCCTTGATGCCTCTTCATAAGCCTTGATTCAGCAATTAGAAAAGACTTAAAATTGGAAGTACTTATCTCCCTCAAAAAATGTAGCCGAGCGGACAGTTAGGATAATTCAAATCCCATTTTAAAGCACCTTTAATGTGCCTGACATAGTCCTGTGTATGGAGAGAGAAATACAGATAAGACACTAAATTATAGTATTGTAGGACTCACTGGGCAATAAACAGGTAAGTGATACCGAGTTAGATGATACTCAGTCATGCCCAGAAGAAGGAACGTGGGGGTGGGACACTTTGTGTCCTCCAGGGTTGAGGGTGAGGTAAGGTAAGTTGCCTGAAACAGATGAAGTGATTTATCTCTGGGTGGAGGACTAAGGCAGAAAAGAATATTCTACGGGGAGAAAACTGCCTAGAAGGTACATGGCTTAGTCTGTGATTGTTTTTCATCTGTATTCAGGAAATGGAGAAAAAAGTATCTTTCCAAGTTAGATAGTGTTTCTCCTAGTCTTATTGGATTTATGATATTAATTGCTTTAATATATTATAGTTTTCAGAATAGAACACTTGCTTTATATGGCAAATATAAGCAGTTCTTGAATTCTTTGTTTTTTATTGTCTTGTAGTATAAAATTTGAGAAATAACCATGGTTTTTTAGTTCATACTAATAAAAGATTTGAACTGCCAAAACATTTTTTTCCCCTCCAATTAAATTTGTTAAATATTTTACATAGTGGAATAAGGCAGTTGAATTTGAGTTAAGCTTGATTAGTTTTGTTGTTGCTTTACCTGTAAGGATTATAATTTCTAGGAAGTTTTCAGAAAGGTTAAGACACTCATTTTAGGTAATTTCATTTAATTAAGCCACTTCACTTGAAGTGACAAACCATAATGTGACTTCCAACCTATTTTGGGGTATAAACTTACATATTTATAGTTTACTCTTTCAAGTTTACGGTACCACTACCTTCCAGTAAGAGAACAGTGAACATAACTTAAACTACTTCATTTAAAGAAATTGAATACAGGATACTATCAGATTAATATGTAGCAGATTATTACCTAGTTTTAATGTAATGTCATAGCTTCTGAAATTACCATTTTCAAGTGAGATATGCTGTTCAAACATACGTATAAATACTGTTTCTAAGGGGAAATGATGTAATACATATACATAGAAGAATTTTGGGCCTCCTTGAAAAATGCTAGATAAAAAAATCTATTTTAGGTTAACGTGAAAGCAATTGGAATCTTAATTTTCTTAAAAAATGATCTTTTGGTGTTGTTTCATAAAATTTGACTTTTACTTACATTGCTGCTAAAATTTTTCTCTGAAACAGCTTTGACAAGGTAACTAAGGACATTTGAGAGAATAGAAGTACTCCTCAAACTAAGCATTCAAACTATCTATTAAATATTTGCTCTTATTTCAAACATCCCGTTCCTTACTTGGCTGAATCCTTTTTACATTGCATTTCTCTGACACATGTGCTTCTGTAATTTTCCACCCTTAAGGACTTCTGTAATTAGATTGGGTCCATACTGATAATCAGGACAATCTTCCCATTTTAAGATCATTAACCTTCATCATATGCACAGCCCTGTTTACCATGTTATGCTATGTATTCATAGGTTTCAGCAGCTGGAGCATGAATATCTTTGAGGAGATCATGTTTATACCTTCCATTAATATACTATTTACTGGTTCCTGGCTTTTCTGTGTCAATGCCCTTTCTCTGCCTATAATACTTGACACATTTTCCTCCTTGATACAGTGAATACAAAAGAATTGTGGCGATTCAGACTCCCATAAGAATTATATTAGATAAAAGATCCGTAGGGAAATTACAAGGGAAGCAGATTCTAAAAAACATGGAAGAAAGAAAAGATGCTTTTAGAGTAGTAGTCCTATCCAAAGGAGACAGTCTTGTACGTTCTTTCAAGTTTACAATAATTGGCCCTAATCTTTGCTGCCAAAGTCCATAATTATTCACACAGCAACTGGAAGTAAACCATTACAAGTAATTAGTGAGGAATCTCTTAATGCAGTATCAAAACTTTCCAAATGATTAGACATTCACTTTGAGCAATAACTTGCAATACTTTACCAAAATTTACATCCATTTTGATAATGTATGATCTTGCATCTTAATGTGTTACTTTTTTCCTACTTAGATCATCACCAAGTATGTATATGAGCTCCTGGAAAAGGACTGTAATTTGAAAAAAGTCACTATTCCAGTAAGTCCAGTTTTTTTTTTAATGTTTATTTCAAGTAAAATGTTTTATTTTGAAAATGTTGACACAAATAAAAGACTTATCTTTTCCTTTATCCTTTTTTCTTTTCAGTGGAGTAAGTTATTTTTATTTATGTATTTGAAGTAAACAAGGACATTTTTTTCTTGCATTGGACATTCACTGTTTAAATATTTCTTGATTTTTAAAAAATGTTTTATTTCTATACATGATATGTTTCCTCTAAACATACTCAATTTCATTTCTGGTACTTGCTATATGTAGCACTGCTCCAGACCTTTTTAGCAGAACACTTATCTTGAAATTTTGTGCATTTTGTAGTTTTGGAGTGAAAAGCTGAGATTTGTTTACAGACTCAAATACAAAAAAAAACAAAACCCCTTTTACTTTAATTTAAAACATGAAATATTAAGCTTTCAAAAGAAAAACTAGTAATCTTATGTGTGAAATGATGTTTGGACTGCATTAGATGGTCTTTGCTGTTCCTGGTAACACTGTATGGTATATAAGAACTTGGAAGGTTTGTTGAAAGTAATCTATTTAATTCACAAAATTTGTGCATTGCAGGTAATTTCATTTGCATGAATTTTGCAGAAGAATTTTAAAATTCCTTAGGTAATGATATTCTGTTACAAATTGGGGAGTTTGAGGGTTTCTTAACAAAGTTGATTTCATAGTTCAATTTTAAACTTCTATTTTTACATTTAATTTTCTATAGGTAACCCTCTATGCTAGGTCACATCGTTAGTCATTCACTGAACCCTTCATTTCAACGGAAGTTTATTCGTAGGTCTTCTAGGTTCTGGACACTCCGAGTGCTGTGAATATTAGTGAATAAAACATTATTCTGTACAGTAGCCCAACCTGAACTTTATTTGGAATCTTTCTTTCCTTTAAAAATCCATGAAAGCCAAGGTTTTAGTAATTTTTGGGAAGGAGCATGCCAGTTGTTTGGATTGAAACTTCTTGTTTTTGTTTTGACTTTTGATCTAGTGTCTTTATAAAAGCAATATACCTTGTAAAGGTGCAAGATCCCAATGATAAATGCAACTGTATTGTTTGCTTTAAATGTATCGATAAACTTAATGGGAAACAAACAAAGAGACTGTGCATTCACTTAGGTCTTCTGGAAAGCCAAGGTACAGTTCTGTCACTTTGTCCAGTCTTCCTTCCTTTTTTTTTTTTTTTTTTTTGAGTTTCTGAAGAATAATATTTAAGATACAACATTACAACATACTCAACAGTAAGTCCTCTAGGATATTTCTACTTCCAGTGAACCCTAAAGCTTGCTTCAATCTCTAGACTTCCAGTATAGTTTACAAGATAATTGGCTTTGTAGATCACGTTACATGATTAAATTGTATTATCTTTAGTGAAAACCTGAGATTAATTAGAGGACTTTTTTTATAATTTCTTTATTATCCTAAATTTAGTCTTATGCTAATTAACATATGGAGAGATTTATATTAGGTGAGAACTAAAAAAAAGCACTATGTCCATTTTTGGTAATAAAGACTCCCCTATTTTATAAACTCAAAAAAATCAAATTAATCTCTCTCTCAAATGATCACATAGTTTAAATAATTCCAAAAATTTTCCTCAATAACTATTATGTTTTTTCCAAATTATCCTAAATCCAAGACTTAACAGCGTGTTTTTTAAAAAAGACATTCTAAACTATTTAAAAAAGACCCCCTGTCCACTTTTTTAGTTGATAGCACTTTGTGGAAGCCCATGATTTGATAGTAAAGATCATAATCGTGTCTTAGTTTTGCTCTATACTGAGCATAAACTGGATAAAATGTTCTCTATTATAGTATTGCATACCTATATAGAATATTGAATACATTAATTATCAACACATTCAATACAGCTTTTTTCAATTTATGCATGTCTCATGTTTAAGTGAAACATCACAATTTGTGAGGTTCCTGAGTATACCACAATGAAATGTTGATTGCTAAATACTGTTTTATGCAGTCTCTGTCACCCTAATGGCATTTGAGGTTGATTTGTCCCTAAGATGAAGTCCTGCGCCAGGATGGACTTCATGTTTATTCCTTAGTGAACTGTTGGCGTAATCACTTAACACCATTTAAAGATAAATAGCCTTGGAATAGCCATTTCTAAACTTCATTAGGTTAATGAAGAAAAACTTATTTATATAGCTATTTTAATATCTAAACAGTTCTGACTTTATATAGAGTAAGTTATAATTATAACGTATAGTCAGAGCCCTCTGTTTGAGGTGACTAGCTCAGGTACTGTCTTGTTCTTGCCACATAGTTGTTAATATTATTATATTATTGTGGTTTTTCCTTGTATATTCTAGTATTCTCATATTTTCAAGTCAGCTTTTCTGGATGTTCAAGTAAACTTTTATTTATTTATTCATGGCTGCCTTGATTTGTAGTCCCTTTAAAATTCTGGAGCAGCATTACGATAAAGAACACTTTCATATCTTCTCAAAATAAATATTCTTTCCGTTTTAAAATGATTAATTTGGAATTTGAAGTGGCAAAATTCCATTGCTTAAAAGATTGAGTTCTCTATCGGTCAACAAGGGCCTTAGTTAAATGGAAAGAAAGACACAGTGATCAGTGCCTTTTTGAAAGTCCATAGCTACAGGTTTTCTCAGTAAGACAGCTAGATGGCCATTTTCATTGCCATTCCAGCATCCATTAAAGCCTCACTGACTATGAGGCACTTTTATTTGTGGGATTTTAGAGTTACTCTTTAGAAATATTGTGGCTTTTTAAAATTGTACAGTGACATCCATGCCTTTTAATTTTTTTCTTCTGTTCTTATCACTCTTTTCTTTTTCCAAACCACTTTAGCAGAGAGCTTCCTCTATTTTCATATGATGTTCCTAGGTCAAAGGGAACTTTTCTTTTCAGGTTTGGTTTCCTCTGTCTCTCGTCTGCTTCTCTTCCTGTGTGTCTTTAGTTTCATTTGCTGTCAACATCTTGATTTGCTTACTGTGGGCACAGAGTGCAAGTGAAGCTGGCATGATTGTTTCACTTCGTGTTTCTCTTCCTACCTTTTTAGTTACTACTCATAAAGTAATAGTTATATCATTTTAATTCTTAACATTACGTAGCTCTTTTAAAATTCCGTATCATCACACATTAGTCTGATTTTCACTTTATGCCTCTGAACAAGGCAAGTATTATAGCCATTTTAAGAGGATTCATTATTGATTTAAATTCCTTGTACCTTAGAGAAGTCACCGTTGATGCTTGATAAGCGTTTGTATTCTAAAAGTTTCTGGTCATTCCTTTACTTATTGAGTACCTATAACATGCCAGGTTCCTATCTCAATACTTAAAATGTAACTGAATACAAAATAGAGAACTTTGTGACTTCTTGGATTACATTCTAGTAGAGACAGCAGATGGTGAATAAACCATGTACAAACAGATGCATGAAGTGCTCAGTGTGTCAGATTGTGGTATATGCTATGGAAAAAAATAAATCAGGGAAAGGGACCAGGAAATTCTTAGGGAGGTGTTTGAAGTTTTAAATAAATAGATGGGGAAGACTCTACCAATAAGTTATTTTTTTTTTCTTAAGCCTGTTGGCCATTGTTTTCTTGCTGAATAAAATGCCCTCTATGCTTTTTATGTATAGCTAAGCATCTAATACAGAAATCAATTTGATTGTTTTAGAAATACAGAAATTTTATTTTGCTTTTATATTCCCATGTTTACTGGCTGGCAATGTTTAGAATCTAGGGCGTTTTTTGATGTCTAGAACTTTTGTGTATTTCTTATTTCAATTTCCACATGAGTACCTATTGCTGACAGTGCAAGGAGCTGTTGTGCACGGCATGTGGATTAATCCCTCGTGTGGCATGTGTGTGTTACTAGACATCCAAACTCTCTAGCTTCTGGCTCTGACTTGGCTGCACAAAGACTTGCATTTCCAGTTACTGGCCACCACTGATGTGCGATGTCTTTCATTGTGAGCTGTGACATGACACTTGTAATAAAAGGATGGGAAGTTATAACTCCTTCTTATGTTCTTGTGTATCTTTCAAATTTAATTATACATCATCCAGGTAGATACTTAAAGTAAGTGCAATCAAAATGGATAAACATTCAATATTTCCCCATTACTAACTAATACGTAAAGCAATTTTACTGGAATGCATGAATGTTGCTTCATAAAATAATTATATAATTCTGTGGTTATAATCTCAGTGAAACTTGAAGTTCATGTATATAGAAAAGTGTTTGAATTTCTAAATACTTTCCTTTATTCTTTTTAAAAATTTTTAGTGTTCAAAATTAAAACATACTTTCCCATAAATGTATCTTCAGATTGAGGTTTTCTATTTTCTCTAGTAGGTATAATAAACATCAGTTATAGAATTATATGTTTAATAGCTGTGTGACCTTGGGCAACTCCTTGTATTAGCTAAGCTTCAAGTTCATCTACTAGTGAGCATTATAATAATATTGCCATAATAGGATTGTTATAAATGAGAATAGTTTTTAAAAGTTAGCATAGTGTCTGAATCAAAAAATGTGACTTGTTCTTAAGTATGATGATGATATAATACTAACCACACAGTAATAATGTAGGGAGGCATATTTCCAGTATTCTTTAAAATACATTTTATTATTCTAATTACTATCATGTTTTGCTCATCCACCTAACATGTAACTGCTAATCTCTACTGAAAATTTTAATGTTATTTTTAAGTTGTTTTAACTCCTTTAATTCTCTATAGCCATCAAATAATTTATAATTAGTTGTTTTCTAACTTTTATATGCCTCATCAGCAGTTACTTATTCTCTAACTTTTTTATATTACAGGTTGATGCCACTGAAAGTGAACCAAAGAGTTTTATCTTCATGAGTGAGGATGCGTTGACAAACCCACAGAAGCTGATGGTCCTCATTCACGGTAGTGGTGTTGTCAGGGCTGGTCAGTGGGCTCGAAGGCTTATTATAAATGAAGATCTGGACAGTGGCACCCAGATACCTTTTATTAAGAGAGCTGTGAATGTAAGTACTATTTCCTTTTTCTGGCATTTTGTAGTTTTATTAGTTGTAAAGTATTTGCTCATGTAACTGCAAAATTATATCCTAAGTATAACTGGTCTTCACGTGATTGTTTATCTTACATGATGATTTATTTGCATTGTTTTGTAGTTCTTTGGAAAAACAAAGTGCTACGAGCACACAAAGATTTAGACAGAATCTTTGAAATGCATATTGTTAATTCTGTTTTAGTTACATGAAATATCAAACTAGCAAATATTCATCTATATTGAAAATACATGTTATTATTGCCTTTGTAAACCTTTGACTACCTAATTTAGTGAAAGTAAAGGAAATCTGCTTTATTAAAGGAAAAGTTAAAATAACTCAGTGATTTTTTTCTTGTCTTTAAAATATTCCTTAGAGCCCCAGAATAAATTATTTTGAACATAAAACAAACATACAACATGGTAAACTGTAATATTTAATAAATTTATTACTTGAATTATAAAAATTGGTATCTTAAGATTATGGTCAAGGTTTTCTGTTTTGAAACAATGAAATTATTTTTCTTGCCTAGCATTGTTAGATCTTGATATTCGTCTAATGTCGTTTTACTGTCTCATTCTCAATTTCTTCATTGAATAGCCAAATTATGCAAAGTATGCATTTTTTTCTACAGGTGAGGAAAAATCTTCAGGGAAAAAAGTATAATGGCCTCTTATGTAAAAATTAATGTAAGACAGCAAAGTTACTGAATAGTATGTGTCTACATATGTTTAGTTTTAGCATATTTTTATAGTCAAAATTGGAAAGACTTGAAAACTCAGATAATTATAAAAAGCAAAAGATAATACATTCTCTATTCTGTTGACTCTGAAATATAGTCTCAGCCTACCTCCTATGGAATATTTTTGCCAGTAGATTTTGTATCCCCTACAATGCTGCAAGTTGAATTTCTTAGGTTAATTGCGTATTTTTTCCCAGTTTTCCAGAATATGTAAAGGATACAAAGGCATTACTTTTGGTTCGATTCCTAACTTCAATAGTGTTTTTAGTAGAATTGAAGTAATTTTTCAGTGAATTAATTAAATATTCAATTAGTGATATTATATGTAAAGTGTATGCATAATTCAATAAATATTTGAAAAAATTTAGTAAAGAAAATGAGATATTTTCAGCTAGTGAGCTCTTGGTGAAATATTTTATTAAATATATTATCTCTGTTATAGGTAATGTCCACCTTGCATATTCTAGAATATTTTGTTGTGTTTGGTTCTTGAAGTGAAAGAGTATCGGGCACCCATGGCAAATATATTTGCTTCAACAGGCCACCCATAGACAGATCTGACAGGAGGCTGAGAATTGTCAACAATATTAGAACTGCAGGCATTTTGGTTTTATAAATAAAAATAAATTTTCCAGCTTTTCTCAGTCATTACAACTCATGATTCATTGAGCAGAAGCCGTTGATTTTTAGGTACTATGATATTTCTAAATTTTAGTTTTTGTACTTTATTGTCCTTAGTTTTAAAAAATGGGGCTGGGGGTTTAGCTCAATGATGCTGCCTCCTGCTTTGCAAGCACAAGGTCCCAAGTTTGATCCCTGGTACCAAAAAAAAAGAAAGAAAAGAATGTGAGCTTTATTGTGGTGAATTCCTTTATAGTGAATATCTAAAATCACCCTTGGAAAATTCTAGATAAGTGATTTTTATTATTTTTACTTTTTTTCTTTTTTCCAATTTCATTTTTTATTAGTGCCTTGCAGTACATAATGATTACATTCCTAGTGGGGAGTTGGTGCATGTACGTAACACATCTTCTTTTTTCATCCACCTTCTCCCCCCCCAATCATCTCTCCCAACCAACCCTTCCCTTTTGCAAAATATCTACAGTTTGTCTCTATTTCCTGTTATCTTTTTCCGGTGTTTTCTCTGCTTTGTAATCCTTCAGGGCCTTTCCATGTGAAAGGAGTTAATCTGGAAAAGACAGTGTTTTAGGGGAGCAGACAGAAGAATACATGGTAGGAAATAAGACATATCTCATTCTTTTTAACCAGATTAAGTCTGTTATCACTTTAATTTTTTAAAGTTTCCATTGTTTAGAAAGGCTGGGAACCACTTCTCTGTTTTTCATGTTCTGTCAATTTTCATATCACAATGAAAGTAAATTCTGATATTTTGAGGACCAGAAAATGTCATCTCTACTCATTTCTGTTAATAGTATTTCTACATATTCTTGGTAGATATTTGGTATGAAATTTGGTCCTTTGGTTAAAATGTTAACATCATCCCCATGGTAGAACTATTTCTCTACATGTTCCCTTTTGTAAAAAGTGGTTGAAGTGGGCATGAGGATGGGAAACTGAGATTTCTTCCCTGACCTTCTAGGGCTCCATAGGTTATAGATTGAAAATCGTAAGTGTTAAGATCCTTGCATTTTTAGATACCTCACAATTTTATCGTCAGTAGTGCATTCAGGTTTTGTGTTGGAAGAATTGTGCCTGTCAGATAATTCCTCACGAGTGCTTCTGAAGTTGTTTGGTTAATATCTTTAGTGTTTAACAGTCTTCATGGCATAGTACAGTATTAGGTGTGAAATGGTTTATAGGCAAGCACTAATTACTTGGCAGTGGACTGTGCGGTGTAAGAGTTACTCGCATTTATTCTTTCTTTCTTTTTTTGTTGTACTGGAGATCAAACTCAGGACCTTCCGCTTGTGAGGCAGGCAGCCACACCACTGAGCTAAATCCCAGGCCCATTTCCTTCATTTTTTAGATGCAGCTTTTTAGGCATTTTCATGTATATTTTTAAAGTAGCCAGGAAAGTAGGTGACACTTGAATTAATTCATTTAAATGCTAATTGGCAGGATTAAGACCGGGGCACCAAATTGAAGAAGGCTTCTCATTGACTTCCTGGCCCGGTCTTGGATCGATTTGAGATACACTGTCAGAAAACTTTATGGAAAGCAGTTTGAGAGACACTGATCTACAGAGTCAAATTTTACTGTGCACTGAAGTCACCTGGAGGGCTTATCTCAAAATTACCATAAATTACCCTGTGTCAACCCTCAGTATTCGAATCAGAAGGTGTGGCTGGGAATTGAGAATTTGCATATATGATAATAAGCAAGTGATACCTGTGCTCCTGTCCCAGGAACCATATTAGAACCAGTGGCATAGGCTGTGTGCTTTGGACTGGTCAGGAATCTGTTGCTGCAGTCATTCCTTGCTATCCACGCAGGACTGGTTCTGGAAGCCAAACTCCATGGGTGCTCAAGTGCTTTATATTAAATCCCTCAGCATTTGCATATGGGCAGTGCACATCCTCCCATATATTTTAGTCATCTCTAAGTTACTTCCGAAACTGAATACAACGTAAGTAGTTGTTATATTGTTTAGGAAATAAGTTGAGTTTTTATAGAGCTGTGGTTTTTTTTAGCCAGCTTTTCATTGCTGTGACAAAATGCTGAAAGATTTATTTTGGCTCACGGTGTCAGATAGTTCAGTCTATAGTCAGCTGGTTCTGTTGCCTTTAAGCCTATAGTGGAGCAGAAACAGTGTAGCAGAGGAAACTTGCTCACTTCATAGCAGCCAGAGAGCTGAGGTGGACAGTTGGGAAAAGTCCAAGGAGAACATACATACAACTTTAAGGAATTGCACCTGCGACCTACTGCCTCCAGCAAGGCCCCAGATGATGCCATTAGTGGAATGAAGCCTTTCATTCATGGCCTCTGGGGAACATTTCAAATCCAAACCATAATAGTGGTTGAATTCACAGATCCAGAACCCACAAACATAGAAGGTTAACTTCAGTCTCTAAGTGTAAGAGGTACGGTAGAACATGATGGCAGCTATATTTCTTTAACGAAGATGGAGCTGTAATGATACTGTTTTCTAATAAAATCAGCAAAAAGCAAAATTTAAATTATGAAGGGTATTTTCAAAATACTGTCTAGAAATGATTCATACCTAAGCCAGGCGTGGTGGTGCACACCTGTAATCCCAGCACTCAGGAGGCTGAGGCAGGAGGATCGCTGCGAGTTTGAGACCAGCCTGGGCTACATAGTGAGTTCCAGGAGGTCAGTCTCAACTACATAATGAGACCCTGTCTCAAAAAACCAAAAAAAAAAAAGGATTCATACCTAACATGACTTAAAATTTTGCAGGGTAGATGGAGTCTTGGGATGTTGCCCAGCCTAGCCTTAAACTTGAATTAATCTGCTGCTTCAGCCTCCCAAGTAGCTATGGGATTACAGCTATTATGGCTCAGTGTCCAGGTAATTAGTAATTTTAGTGGTTTCAGGAAAAACCTGATTACTTAACAAAGGCACCATTTTTCCTAATATCTCATAATGAGATTATTTGGGATATTCTATAATTACTTATTTTGAGGATGTGATACTATGTCTGTTTTTAAATATCAATAACTATATCAATATAATTTATAGTTTTGGTTCTATGTTATGTTGGCTTGAGCTAATTAATATGGACTTCCCCATCTCACTAAACATACATAAAAATAATGAGAGAAATATAACAACAAAAGTATGAAATGCCTAGCTGTGTATTTCAAAAGATAGTAAAGGAATCCCAAAAATAAAAATTTATTTTAACTTGAAAGTCTGTGCTTCTTGAATGATTAAAATAAATTGAAAAAGTGAACTAACGGCATTTTTCAGAAATGCACGGTTTCAGAAATTTATTTTGTATTAATTATTTGATGCTTCCAACAGAAAATGAGGGCATATATCAATTATTCTGTCCCTCTGGAGGTACTTCAGCTTGAATTTGTTGTAATACCGAGCCAGTACTTAGACTTCGATCCATTTGGTCTTCCATAAATTTACTGACATTTGCGTCCTTTCTTCTCTCATTTCATTCGGGGGGTGAATTCAGCATCTCTCTCTTTTTTTTTCTTTTTCTTCACTAACATTTTCGTGTAATTCGTGGCAGAGATAATAAAAATAATTCAATGTTTTGTGTGGTTGTCTCAATTGTAGGTAGTCATTCTACTATTTGGAT